ACCTTAGGTGTATGTGGCTGGCGCCTTAGCTGGTTGAGCCATAGGCGCAGAGCCGGTTTTCCCTTTCCACAGTGCCTTTTGGTAGTACAGACCTGGTTTAATTCCTGTGGAAAAAAGGGTCTTCTGATTTGGGCTATTTTTTTTTTTTTGGTAGAGATGGGGGGGGTCTCACTTTGTTGCTCAGGCTGGTCTTGAACTCCTGGCCTCAAACTGTCCTCGTGCCTCAACTTCCCAAAGTTCTGGGATTACAGGTGTGACCCACCGCACTGGCCCATTACATTTAATGTGATCCAGTCCATGTAATAATGATGTTTCAGTTCTACTCTCAGAGTTCATGACCCATGGCTGTAGCCCTCACACCTGTGGTGGTGAGCTTCCCATCTTTAGAAGCATCCAAGAGGAGCCTGGACAGCCACCTGTCATGGTGCTGGATGGAGACTTCCAGATGGAGTGGGAGGTTTCACGAGGATGACCTCCAACATTCCTTCTGGCCCTGTGATTTATGGTGAGCAGAATAGGTAACCTCATCTTACCCACTCCAAACTGGGTGCTCCTGGGACCCCAAGAAGGAGACTTTGCTCCCTCCCAAGCCATCTGGTCACCACTCAGAGCTCAGGGATTGTGGATCAAGAGATTGCGGTGATTAGAGACATTAACCCCCAGAGGCAGTGGGGAGGCAGCTGGACTCCTCGGCCCAGCCTGTTTCAATCTGGTAATTGTTCCACTTGCAGCAATGGGGGAAGGGAGGAAGTGGCTGCTGGGGTCCTCATGAAGGGAGAAAAAGGCTACTTAGTGACATTTACCTGGTTCTCAGAGCAAGCCCTCAGGTGGGAGCCCTGAGCCCATCTCCCACCAGGAGGTCTGGAGGTGGGTGGGACAGACACAACTCCCTTATGGCTCTGTCTGCAGCCACCTGTGCCCCTCACTGCAGAGGGAGCCCCAGAGAGTCCTAGGAGACCCACTGCCAGGGTGGGGTGGCTCCCTATTGCCCTAGGGAACGGTACAAACTCCTTCAGTGGCCTTGGGCCAGCTGCAGGGGCCAGGCTTACTCTCCCGCCTCTGTGGTCTCCCTGTTGCTCCTTCGCCCTGGAACTCTGTCCACGGTCCCTGCCCTGCCCTCCCTGACAGGCCCAATCTCCCCAGCCTGGCAAATCTGCACTCCTTTTCTGAGCTCAGCTACACATCACTGCCTCTGTGAAGCCGTCCCTGACTGCAGCCAGCTCCATGTCCCCAGGGTACCCTGCTGGTGGGCTCACCTGAATCTCTAGGGC